TTCAATCTTCCCGATTTCTGCAAGATGTGTTTTCATGAGATCTCGGGGGGCGTGTAGCAACCAGGGGGCTCGATGACGACCTTCAAGACATACTGATACCCTGTCTGGGGCCTTGTGTGTTTTGAACTCGGTGCCCTTTGTGGGCTTCGAATTCCAGCATTTGTTCTCTGGATGAATCCCCGCAGCCTTATGTGGCCAAAGGGTCGGTTTTTATCCGCACATCTTATATTATAAGCCCTTTTATCCCTTTCTCCTAAACCCGAAACTTCAACGGTGGACCCTACTTGAAGGTGCATGGGTCCTCATGTTTAAGGGCATTCGTACCCCACTATTGTTTAACCCTACTTGTAACACCACTTCTACGTACCCCAAATGAACCTCCAAGCAACCCTCTGAACCCCAAGCCCAAAGAAATCCTATAGATCGCCCAGCTATGGAGGTGCCCCAAAGCCCATAGATCCTTAAGGCTCCGAGGACCTTCCTCCAGCGGGACTGGTCCTGCTACCTTCTAAGGAGGTTTCTGGGGTCTAGGGTTTAGGGTTTAAGGTTTATAAGCTTAAGGTTTAGGGTTTAGGGTTTAGGGTTTAGGGTTTAGGGTTTAGGGTTTAGGGTTTAGGGTTTATGGTTTGGGGGGGTTTGAGGGCCCCAAGATCCTTACGTATCTACAGCCTCCACTGCCTTGCGCCATGGCACTGGCTGTCGGGTTCAGAGCAGCGCCGGGACCCGCCCCACTCACCAAAAGGCACGTTATGGGTTTAGGGTTTAGGGTTTAGGGTTTAGGGTTTAGGGTTTAGGGTTTAGGGTTTAGGGTTTAGGGTTTAGGAGCCAGGGTTCAGGTTTCGAAGCTAAGGGTTCACAGGGGCAGCAACTCCAGATTCCACAAGACTTCGGGGTTTCGGGTTATTTGGGTGTAGGGCTTCCGTTGCATGCTTGGCCAGAGGTCAAGGCCCAACCCTTTAGGGGGGGGGGGGGGTAAAGCACTCGACCTTAAACTCCTATGTTATACATCCCCGAAGCCCCAAACCCTAAACCCTAAACCCTAAACCCTGAACCCTAAACCCTAAACCCTAAACCCTAAACCCGAAACCCTAACCCTAAACCCCAAGCTGAAAACTGAACTGTAAGATGCAAATGAGGACGTTGTATAAAGGAGGCCAACATGCCTGTGACAGGGCGTTGGCTCTGGAAGCCGCCAGTCCCCGAAACTCATAAGAGGGCAAACCTTGAGTCCTAAACCCAGGGTTTAGGGTTTAGGGTTAAGGGTTTAGGGTTTAGGGTTTAGGGTTTAGGCTTGAAACCCCAATCTGAAAAGGGACTCATGGTCCAGTGTTCGGGGGGTATCCCCACCAGCTGTCTCGGATGGAAGCCCCACATAATGGCTCATGCAGCCCAGTGGGGCCTTGGGTCAGGGTTGTCATTTGGATACCCCCAACCTGGGGCACCTGCAGTCTAGCCCCAAACCCTAAACCCTAAACCCTAAACCCTAAACCCTAAACCCTAAACCCTAAACCCAAAACCCTAAACCCTACGCAGGAACTTATAGTTAACTAGGTCACGAGTCACGCGCATACACCTAGACTGTTCTTGCAAGGCCGCTAGACGGCTTGGCGGGCTCCCTGCGGCGCACCGCCTCAACGCAGCAGGTTCGGAACAGCTGCAGCCTTCGCCAGAGGGTTTAGGGTTTAGGGTTTCGGGTTTGGGTTTTGGGGTTTAGGGTGAAGGGTTTATAAGGGTTTAGGGTTTAGGGTTTAGGGCGAGTTGTTCAGGTTGTCATACCACCCTCTCTACCCCCCCCCCCCCCCAAACAACAAAAAAAAGCAAAACAAAGGCGATTTAGGGATAATATGAAGCCTAATTCAGGTGATTTTAAGGGGGAACCTTTTAAGGGGGAACCTGGGGGGGGGGGGGGGGGGGTAGTATGGATGGGTAGTAGGGAAACCCGTGAGCTTGGGGAAGCCCATGAGGCTGGGCCCATCCGTGGGTGGAGTGGGCGGCGGGGTGATCGTGTACGCATGCGCACGAGTTGTGTTTCTTTGCCTCTCTCTCTCAAACTCGCGCGCGTGCGTGCGCGTGCGTGTGCGTGTGCGTGTGCGTGTGCGTGTGCGTGTGCGTGTGCGTGTGCGTGTGCGTGTGCGTGTGCGTGTGCGTGTGCGTGTGCGTGTGCGTGTGCGTGTGCGTGTGCGTGTGTGTGTGTGTGTGTGTGCGCGGGTGTGTGTGTGTGTGTGTGTGTGTGCCTGTCTGTCTGTCTGTCTGTCTGTCTGTCTGTCTGTCTGTCTGTCTGTCTGTCTGTCTGGTCTGAATGCTGGGCTATGCTCACTGTAGCACAGACTACGCAAGCGTCAAAGTCCAATGTCCGTCTGTCTGCCTGTTTGTGTTTGTGTTTGTGTTTGTGTCTGCGTCTGTGTCTGTGAGGGGCACCTTCGGGACTACGCCCTTTGCGAGGATACAGTATGAGACATTTCATCTTCCATGTTAGCGAAAACTCTCCAACCCCGAGCCCTAAAGCCTGATCAAACCCTAAACCCTAGCCCTAAACCATATCAACCCCCAGCCCTCAAACTTAAACCTTAAACCCTAAACCCTAAACTCTATAAACCCTAAGCCCCGGGCGTTCTCCAACTTGCGAGACGGCGAGATGCATCGCCGTCGCTGCAGCCACGGCGGCAGCTGCCGCGACTGCAACGGGGGCCCGAGGCCCGCTGTTTGCAGGGGCATGAAGTTTATCTACATATGTATATATGTATACATTATAGATCTGTTTGTGTATAGTTGCCTCAGATGTTGATGTATACATGTATGTACATCTTTCATGTTTGGTAGTATGTATATGTATGTGTATGCTCCCCCCCCTCCCCCGCTGAATGTACTTGCTGAGGCTTTGTCGTCAAGATTTTTTCAAGAGGAGCGAAATGACTTGAATTGTTAGTCTGGGCGAAGAAACACAACTAAGCGTGAATTGGTAAGTGGCCACTTGTTTGCATAAGCCACATATTTTTTAACTAGCCCCTAGATCCAACACTGGTTTACTACTACTATTGGAGTGAGGCATGTACTTGACCTTCAATATGTTTATTGCTTGCCACACTAATGCAGCTGACAGCTTTACTCTATAAGTTCTATTGCGGAACTTGATGGCCGATGTTTATAGTTACAGGCAGTTGCTGTCACAACGCAATTAGAGGAAGAACTGGGGCCTCATGATAAGAAATGCGTCGAGTTTGATTTGAAGTCGTCATTTGGAGGAGTTGAACATGACAAGCGTCTTGTCCAACTCTCAAAACCACGAATACCTTTATTTTGTAGCTAGTTAGTGGGCCATTCGTGTACTACATATATGCATATCTGTGTGTGTGTGTGTGTGTGTCTGCGTGTGTTTGTGTGTGCGTGTGTCGATGTCAGGTATACACTCACCGAAGCAGAAACGTCAGCAAAACCCAATAAACAAACAAGCCTACTTCATGTATGCCTTGAACCCCATTCCCGACAAGCTGGGCATGTACACAACCTGACTAATTTGATAAACAGTTTTTGAGGTCCAGCATATATCTCAATACCTTGTACTCGTACCTTCTTAGATGGGCAGCAATATCGAACGACTATGAAGGACAGCTACAGGGACAACCAGTGCACTCAAAGTGAAAAGCTAATTTGCATCAACATCGTAGTAATTGTCTACTAGAGAAGAGAGGCCATTTGATCTTATGAGCCAAATGATGGAACAAGCCCCTACATCCAATTCTGACTTCATGTTCAGCGGCCGCTTGGTATTCTTATCAGTTAGTTTAAATCCTACCTTAAACCCTAAACCCTAAACCCCTATTGCGTATTGTCGACTTGGGGCACCTAATGTGTTAAGCGCGGTAAGAATACGTTCAACTTAGAGGCCAGTTGTTATTCTAACCCAGTTACTAGGTGGGACTTTATACTACAACTTTATCACTTTATATGTTTAGGACTTTACGACAACTTTATCACTTTATAAGTTTAGGGTTCCTCTAATTTAATATTAAGGGAGCTAAAAGTTAAAGTTTTCTTGAGGACTTAAAGAGCAACCAAGGTTAGAGCAATCACCTGCCACAAGACAAGAAGATAACTGAGGGGGGTCTACGGGTCTTGTCTTCCGGTGGATGGTGGGGCTCTACATTCTACGGGTCTTATCTAAGTTCTAAGTTGGCAGGGCCTCTCCCCAACTGCATCTGCAAAGTCGTTCTCTTTCCTCGGGGTTGTTCTGGTTTAGGGTTTAGGGTTTAGGGTTTAGGGTTTAGGGTTTAGGGTTTAGGGTTTAGGGTTTGGGGTTTAGGGTTTAGGGTTTAGGGTTTAGGGTTTAGGGTTTAGGGTTTAGGGTTTGGGGTGCGAACCCGGACAGCCCTCCAGAGGTGAGCATCATTGTGAAGTTTGTGTAGCGCAGGGGTTTAGGGTTTAGGGTTTAGGGTTTAGGGTTTAGGGTTTAGGGTTTAGGGTTTTCTTTTCTGTGCAGGGTTGAAGTACTTGGAGGTTCATGGATGCTGATAAGTGGGGCTATAAGTGCCCTAAATGGGTTTTGAACCCTAGTTAGCCTACTTAGAGCCCTACTTACAAGTACACATGAACCTCCAAGTTTTCGCTTACAGGGCCGGAGTGGAATTTCGAGCAGCCGAGACCCCCTTGGCCCTTAGACTTGGGCTGCAATCCGCTTTGATAAGCAAAGCCCGGTTGAAAAGTTCTGCGCAAAAGAGCAACCCGAGCTGTTCGGAATCAGCTTCCACACCGCAGCACTAAGGGTTTAGGCTCAAACTTCTGAGGCCGATATCCCCCCCTTCTCTCTCCAAGTAGCTGCTGCCATGATTCAGAACCCGGAGTATGCGGAGCCTGTGCCTCACCTTCTTGGAAGGCTTGCGCAGCCTCCTATCTGCCAGCCTCCTGCCTTCCCGGAATATGCGGGGCCTGTGCCACACCTCCTTGCAAGGCTTACGCCGATGGAAGCTTCGCAGCAGCATCCTGTCTGCCAGCCTCCTGCCTGCATGGAGTATGCGGTGCCTCTGCCATACCTCCTTGGAAGGCTTGCGCCGATGGAGCCTTCGCAGCAGCCTCCTGTCTACCAGCCTCCTGTCTACCAGCCTCCTGCCTGCCAGCCTCCTGCCTACCAGCCTCCTGCCTACCCGGAGTATGCGGGGCCTGTGCCACACCCTGGAAGGCTTGCGCCGATGGAAGCTTCGCAGCAGCCTCCTCTTTGCCAGCCTCCTGCGTACCCGGACTACGCGGGGCCTGTGCCACACCTCCTTGGAAGGCTTATTCCGATGGAAGCTTCGCAGCAGCCTTCCGTTTGCCAGCCTCCTGCCTGCCAGTCCATGATGTATGTGCCGACGGTGTTCACTGCACAGCCATCACATGGCTACACCGGCTACATGAATCAGCACGCGGTGCCGTCACAGGAGCCGCCTTTGATGATGGCGCCGAGCGGAATGTATCCATGTGAATGTGCTCCACCAGTTCAAGCTGCAGCCACAGAGACTTGGCTTTCTTCTCGCTGGCTTTTAGGACTTTAACCTTTTGGGTTGTTGAAGAAACTACAACAAGGACCCTAAAAGGTTAAACTTTTCGGAGGGCTTCAGAAGTCAGCCAAGACAAAGCAGCCGCTGCTCTCGGAAAATGCCCTCCAGCCACCAGATGCTCCGACTTCCGACTCGTCCGACAAGCCCGGCCACCCGTCCGCGTCCGGAAGCAGCGGAAGCAGCCTCCCAGAGACGACTCCACATCGGCAGGATGCCATAGCTTGCATGCGGGACTATATATATATATATATTTATTTATTTATTTATTGATTTTTATATATGTATTTATATTTTGGGGAATTCTTTTCTATTTTGCTTATATAAAACCCGAGCGGATATTGACGATAGTATTTTTATTATGGTTGTAAGGGGAGTATAGCCAGGAGACGAGAGGCAGAACCGCACAACCATCCCAAAACGCGAAGCGGGTGGCCAGCCTCTTTGATGATGCCAAGACGACCGTCATGCTCCGCAACATCCCGGTGCGATACACCTGCGAAGCATTGTTGAAGGAGGTGATGATGGCCGGGTTCGACCAGATGTTCGATTCTAGGTAGAACTTTTAGGGGGTTTGGGGTTTCGGGTTTAGGGTTTAGGGTTTAGGATAGTTTACACTCCCCCGGATATTGGGTTCGAGATTTTCATTTGGGGATGTCACGGGACTCACGCAGCAACCCAGGACTTCTTCTACCTTCCCATGGACTTCCGCACCAAGCGGAATCGTGGGTATGCTTCGGGGCTCGTACCCTTAATTCCCCCCCCGCTTGCGGTTCAGGGTTTAGGGTTTAGGGTTGTAGGGCTATCGGCTCCCCTGCAGGCCCACAAAAAGCGGTAGCCTCACCCTCAACCCTCAGCCCTAGCCCCGCTAGCCCATTCCCTTTTTAAGGCTTTCATCAACTTCAGCTCGGGCCGCGCGGCTCGTGACTTTGCGTTGGCTTTCCACGAGCAGCAGCCGAGACTCTACGGCCACCAGTCCAAGAAGATCTTGGCGCCTCGGGCCCCCGTAAGGCCCTGAAGTTTAGGGTTTAGGGTTTAGGTTCAGGGTTTAGGGTTTAGGGTTCAGGGTTCAGGGTTTAGGGTTTAGCCTTATAACCCTCAAGCATGTGATTGGCAATCTTTATTGTGAGTGTTGAAGGAATCTGAGATCCATGCAAGCTCCAAAAAAGTCCCCCTTAACATCGCGATCATGATGCCGCGGTGCCCAATCCGATCTTCGTCCTCATCAAAGTATGTGAGCAACATTCGTCTCTAGGTCTTATACTCCCCTTGAGGAAGTGGCTCCTGCGGTGACGCAGGGCTATCAGGCGAATGTGCACAAGTACTTTGCGAAGGCGGATGCCCGCATCAAGAACGACTGGTTCAAACCCATGCTCTTCACCTGCGAAGAAGATTCCACCTAGACTGACGAGCTGCTGCAAGCTGCTTTGCCAGGCAAGGCCAGGGGTGCGCAGCCCAGAGCAAGGGTTTAGGGTTTAGGGTTTAGGGGTTAGGAACGGTTAGGGTTTAGGGTTTAGGGTTTAGGGTTTAGGGTTTAGGGTTTAGGGTTTAGGGTTTAGGGTTTAGGGTTTAGGGTTGCAGGATTGCCCAAGCCCGGATGCAAAAGGGTTGCAGGATTCTGAGGCCACACTTAAAGGCCGAATTTACCATGGACGAGCCGTTTTTATGCGAGCCGCAGTCAAAGAGAGCCAAAGCAGACAGGAGTTTGCATATATATGCACTGTGCGATTGAGACCTAAATTGTGGGGCCAGTTTGCCTGCGGTCACGCGTCCGGAATTCGCTGAATGTTTGTACTGTCGCTGACTGTCGTGTAGGGTTTAGGGTGTGTGGGTGGCTTAGAGCGGCAGGATACTTGGCGAAACGACAGTGCACGCCTTCAACACGTGCGGCATGTGTTTTTTTCGCTGTCGGCACAACGTGCCAGCGCTGGGCCCAGGATGGGCTATTAGGCCCTAGAATCCCCATGATCAACCCTACAAAGGGCCTCTTAAAGGGGTTATTTAGGGCCAATTTAGGGCATAATCGCCCATGCTGGGAATTAAGAATTTACGCTTTCTGAAGAGGACGACAGGCAAGAGGACACTGAAAACAACTCCTTGCAGGGGGCCTTTCCTCACCAGCATATTGGAATGCGCCGTGGCTGGCATACTGTCACTGCGCCAGACATTGTCGGGATCCGAAACCCTTCGCCCTAAACTTGGTCGCTGTTGCTAGGGCTTAGCTAGCGATGTAACTGGCGTCGCTCAAGGGGGACCACCTAAAGCATCTGGCCTCCCTAACGGCAGACTCCTGCACGACGAAGAGTTGTTGTTCTCCCATTGCTCCGAGCTTGAAACCCTAAACCCTAACCCTAAAGCATTTACCCTTCCTAACGGCAGACTCATGCACGACGCAGAGTTGTTGTTCTCCCATTGCTCCGAGCTTGAAACCCTAAACCCTAACCCTGAACCCCGAAACCCAGCGCCATCAGAAAATCTTCGACTCCTCGGGTCTACAGTCTACAGCAATACACCAAGCAATTCCTGCGGGCCAGTTGGAATGGCTCGGACCTAGCGATGGCGCTCTTTGGTTTTGGTGTTTGTGAACCCTCGAGCTGCTGGCCTAAACACTCAACCCTAAAGCTGCAAACCCTAAACCCTTAACCCTAATAAGCCCTAAACTTTGGGATGTTCCCCCTGAGACTGACAGGCCTTAGTAGGATTATACTAAGGGTACTATAATCCCTATTAAGGACTGTTCCCAACCATAACCCTAAACCGACGTCCCTGCCCAGGGCGTGGTCGCAGGGCCACTGGCGAGCCGCCGCGCGCGCTGCCACAGTGCTGAGTTTAGCTTCGGGGGTTTAGGGTTATGGGTTTTGGGTTTCGGGTTCAACTTCCACTCTTCCAGGGAACTGACTATTGTGTCCTTCGTCGAGGAAGATGGTAGCAAACCCGACCTCCTGCACAAAGCAACCCCAAAACCGTCAACCCCATCAGAAAAGCGTGTTGGCCGCTAACCCCTAAGCCCTAAGCTAACCCTAAACAAACTTTTGTGGGATGTGCAAAACAGGCACCGCAAGTACAGGCACCACAACAACTCAGTGACAAATCGAAAAGCCCTAAACCCTAAACCCTAATTAAACCTTATAAACCCTACACCCTAAACCCTTAACCCTATGATCTCCTGGCGGCCTCTTGGAGGTTCGTGGGTACTCAGATGTAGGACGATAAGTGCCCTGAATAGGGTTATAACCCATACCTTATCCCTACGCATAAGTACTAATGATCCTCCGAGTCCCGCAGTATCCCGATTCTCGATGGCCGTTTCACCTCCTTCCCAACCCCCCCTATCTCGGACCCTATAACCCCAAACTGTAAACGCTAAACCCTCAGCCCTAGACCCAAAGCCCAGCCTCTACCTCAACACTCATGTCAGACGAACCTTCTTCTAGGGCTTATATTTGGGGTTTTCTTCCCGGCTGGCTTCTTAGAGACCTGGATGCAAAGAAGGGTACCCTTTTAAGGGGTGGGTTCCTATAAGAAGGGCTATGGTGAGTTCAGGTCGATAAGGAGTACTTTTTTTTTTTTTTTTGGGGGGGGGGGGGGGGGGGTGAAATTCCCATATCAGGGCGTATGGCATATAGGGCTGATAGGGTGCAGGGTTTAGGGTTTAGGGTTTTAGGGTTTAGGGTGCTTGAGGCAGCCGAGCGTGGACTTCGCACAAAAAGCCTTGCAGGCCCGCGAGGATGCCCCTGAGTTTAGGGCTTGGGCGGACAGTGTTTGGGCCACAGCCCTACTTGGAGGTTCATGGGACTTTTTAACCAATTATATCTGTACTTATAACTGTACATAAAGCCATGTTAGGGCACTTAATTGGCTTGTAAGTGGGTTATAAGTAAAGCTATGATTGGTTCATGAGCAGCATGAACCTCCAAGTAAACCCTAAACCCTAAACGATAAACCCTGCACCCCAAACCCTAGGGGAGGTTAGTGGGTTGGGGTATAAGCCCCTACAGATGTGGGAGTGCCTGGAGGACTGCATGAATGCGTGAACCCTGACAGGGCTCGTGGGGCCATTTCAAGGATTTGGAGTTTAGGGTTTAGGGTTTAGGGTTTAGCGTTTAGGGTTCCTCTAGTGTCATGATGAAGTAGCAGGGCATTCGTCTGGAGTCCTGAAGAAACGGCACCCTGGCGCGCGAGGACTGACGGCCTTAACCGCAACCCAGATCTACTACGTCACTATTTGCTTAAGAAACCCCCCGCCCCCCCCCCCCCCCCCCTCAAAAAAAAAAAAAAAAATTGAAACATTACTAATCCCTCGACTACCCTTAAGGGGAAGAATGTTTCTTTTTTGTTGGGGGGGTTTCAGGGTTTAGGGTTTAGGGTTAGGGTTTAGGGTTTGGGGGGGGGGGGGGGGGGGCAGTCGTGAGCGGCCCTGCGAGGTCGATGAAGCAGAAGCTTTGTGCCTGGTAGAGGACTGGGGGTTCAGGGGTTTAGGGTTTTGGGTTCCGGGTTTAGGGTTTAGGGTTTAGGGTTTAGGGTTTAGGTTGCTTCCGAATTATTGCGTCGGAGGTTGACACCTCAGCCCAAGCGACCCTGCGTTTAGTGTAGGACCTGCCGCTGGGGATCTGTGTCCCTCTACAGGGTGGGGCCCCCTTACTATACTAACTGTAGTTAAGGGACTTATAACCTAACTCAGGGTCCTTATAACCCAATTTAGGGCCCTTATAACTCTACTTATAACTAGGGGGCCCCACCCTGTAACCCCTACACACCCTAGCCCTAAACACCTTGAGCCCCAAACACCCTAACCTCTGAACCCTAAACGCTAAATTTAAACCATCCCTCAAACCGAGAAGTCGAAAAGAAACAGCCGGGGCGAGCAGGGCTTCGAATTTCATTTGTCATGGCGCCTGCAGGAGATCCGTGCCTTTGCCGTAGCCAGGGATGGCGATGATGTTGCCCGGCTCGTTATGCGGGCGTATAGCTATTTATAGGGTTTAGGGTGGCGATTTTTTGGCGAGGGTCTATAGTCATCGGGTAACCCTAAACCCTAAACCCTAAACCCTAAACCCCTAACTTTAAGGACTCAAGTCTGGAAGTCTACGGTGTCTCTATGTAGCGGGAGACCGCTGACCACAGCGCACGGATCCCTACTCGAAGGCTCATGGGTACTTACAACCCCAACTACATATGTCTACTTATAACCTACTTAGAGGACTTAGAACCATTATAAGTACACTTCTACAAAACTCTATAACTACCCTTATAAATACCCCTTTTTTCTACTTATATTAGAGGACTTCGGGGACTCAGGGGGCTTATAAGTACATTTCTACAAAAGCCTGTACTTGCCCTACTTATAAATGCACCTGAACCTTCCGGTGCCCACATAGGCTGGCGCAGCCGCACCTTCAACCCCGAACCAAGCCAGTCATTGGGGACTGTACGTGTAGTAGAGTAGGTAACCGGACTTTATTCCTTGCTACTATTCCCAAAGGTTCTGATTCCTTATAGAATCCCAAAGGTTATTTAGCCTATTTAGCCTTTAGTTCATCTGGGATGCTGGAGAGCCAAGAAGGCGAGAGATTCCTGTGAAGCCTTGCTCGCCGTTTATTGCCTATCATAACATCCGTGGACTCGAGAGCAGTAGAACATTCTAGCATTCAAATGGAATAATCCTAAACCCTGAGCAAGAAAGAAGTGTCACCCTGCAGTGTGTGGTTTAGGGGGTTCAGGGTTTAGGGTTTAGGGTTTAGGGTTTAGGGTTTAGGGTTTAGGGTTACTTCGACACAGGCTACGGGCTCGCGGACGAAGCATTGGACGCAGCGCTTGTGCCGAGGATTAGAGGCCAGCTGCTTTCAGCACACGCCATATGCCCGACAAGCCCTCATTGACCTAACCCCCCCCCCCCCCCGCAACCAAAAATAAGTTAAAAAGTAAGAAACTAAAAAGCCCTAACCCCTAAGTCCTACAGTCTTAAGGCTTGTGAGAAACAGAAAACCCAAACCCCCAAGTCCTAAACTCTTAAGGCTTGTAAGAAACTAGGAAGCCCAAACTCCCAAGTCCTAAACTCTTCAGGCTTGTAAGAAACTAAAAAACCCAAACCCCTAAACCCTATACCCTAAACCCATACTCCGAGTATGGCCCTGATATTCCCGTAGAGGATCGTTCGAAAGGGTCGCCAAACTCATGTGTTGCGACCTTAGAGGTTCAAGGTTTAGGGTTTAGGGTTAAGGGTTTTGGGTTTTGGGTTTTGGGTTTAGGTTTCCCCTTCGGCTCAAAATAGCTAAAAACAACCTTAAGTAAGAAGGCCTTTGGCCCCAAAAAAGCCCAAAACAGGAGTGCTTAGAGCCTTAGGGTTATACTTGGAGGTTCATGGTACTTCTTAACAAATTATAACTACACCTATGGCCCACGT